ATATATATATATATATATATATATATATATATATATATATATATATATATATATATATATATATATATATATATATATATATATATATATATATATATATATATATATATATATATATATATATATATATATATATACACATATATGCTTTCATATTGTTTCTTTTGATACGTCAATGTCGAATTTTAAGTTACATCTGCATTTTATTCTTCTGTGTCTAGACCAATGATTTTCAACTTTTACAGATTGGCAAAACTATTTTCTAAATTTCTGCAATACATCACTCCATCTTCAGCAATACAGTATCTTTATAATTACTATCTAAGTATATTTTCATCCACCTAATCATACCTTCATCCAGAGGCTGTTCACATTTCCCTAATGCCTCTGACTAAAATAAAAGGGAGTAAATTAAGAAGCAAGAAATACATACCTGCATAATGTCACATGCCACACTTTGGAGAGGGGTTGTGACATGTATATTGCAACTAATATTTATTATTTATTTATCAAAAAAAAAAATCTACCACATCAACATTTAAGGTCATTAGCAGTTAAGAAAGTTTTTTGGTTCACAAGTGGATGTTTTTGTGGATTTCCAGAATGGTCAACGATTAAAATAAACAAATGTACTGGACATCAAAGGTTACACAGCATTATGGTAAAGTTTTGTGGCAAAAAGGGTAAACATGAGTCAACAATGTGGATATATGGACAGAAGGGTATGAAGAAGAGAAGGAAAAGGAAAGAGGGAGAAGAAAATACCCTTCAAAATTGGTATACATGAGGGCTGAGGTCCAAAGTAGGAGTAATCTTTTAACCCCTTGCTGACGGGCATGGCATGTACGGACATGCCATGCCCACTGTGAGTCGACTTGTTCGATTGTTTTTACACATAGATGGCTACACTTGTACTAAGTCACCAGTGAGCCAGTTACGAGTACTGCCTGTCTCGCCCGTTCACCCTTTTCATCAATTTATGAAAATATTTAATGTTATCTTATATTGCTGTTAAAAATAACACCATCTATATTTATAGCACTAGTAAGAATACGTTTTTTCAAGGAAAGGTGAAATCAGGATTAGCAGAGCCATTTATGTACAGAGACATTTCACAAAAATATAAAAAATTAGTACAGCATTTTCCCAATTTTTTATTTATTTTCCCTGGCGGCAATAGGTTAATATCATTTTAACTATGGTATGGTACAACAATCTATATTTCTAAGGAATACAGTGCAACTCTTCTTTATTAATATTATCATTTAATGTTTTTGTATTTTCCTTAACTGATTTACTTCTTGTTTTAACTGCAAAGAAATCACTGTATAGATTCCAAATTCTTGCCTTCTGAATCATCTGTAAATTTGAAGTTCACAAACAGATGAACAAAGACAGGCATGCAGAAAGGGGTAACACAATCCTGCACTACTTTGCATATCTCTGTACAGGCCCTGACCCACATGCACATGCTCTAGCACAAATGTATGCACACACCCACACACTCACACATTCTTATGTACATATGCATGCATATACACATGAGTAATGCATTATAAATCTGGTGTAAGAAAACAAGATCTTTTATCCATTCACATTTTATTTTTGCATATGAGCTAAATATTATCTAACATTTTTGAAAATCAAAATAAATGACATCAGCTCCCCAAAAACATCAATTTCTGTGAAGAAAAATACCTTAAAAGTACTTTTTATGCAGTGAAAAAGAAGTCATCGATGAAAGCAAAAAAATAATCTATACCAAAATTACCTGAATAATGTGGCCCTACATTTGTACCATGGCTAGTGTGAGGATACAATACTGAAACAATACATCTCCAAACTACACATACTGGAACTAAGCATGACTAGCTCAATCTTTTCTTGAACTTCAAACTGGAGCTTTGCATGCACTTGTTAATGCATGTGACTACACTGTGTAAGGAAAATATACAAAAATGTCAAAATATAAATATGTTACCAACATAGCCCATGACCCCATGACCTTCCGCAACGCCATAGGAGCTCGTCTTTGTTCATAATCATTGCTAGTGGGGAAAGGTCTCCTTCAGGGTACACAGTGTGCATGTGATCTTTGGTCTAGACGAGAGGGTGGATAATGTTTCCGGCAAAAACATTTATTTGTGGATTTTTTTTATATATGTATATTTTGTTTCCGGCAAAAACATTTATTTGTGGATTTTTTTTTATATATATATTTTGTTTCCGGCAAAAACATTTATTTGTGGAATTTTTTATATATATTTTTTCATGCTAATCAAACATCTTTCTAATGAAACATAAAAAAAAAGTACCAAATAATGTTAATCTTTTATATGATAATGAAAATGATGATGATAAAGAGCTGGGAAATGGAGTACTAACAAAAGGAAGAAAAGTAGAACAATGATTAGAAGGAAAAGAAAAAGAACAATTGTGAATTAAAAGAACAAAATAATATGCAAATTCAAAATTCCACATAGCACTATACAAAAAAAAATAATAATAATAAAAAAAAATAAATAAAATAAAAAATAAAAAAGTAAAAAATATATTCCAGCTGGGGGCCAAAGAATTACATTTCATTGAAACTAGTATAAGGATACAACAAAAAAAATATGTTTACACAGAAAAGTGTTACATCAAAGTTACTCATATAATGCGCAAATGATCATGGCACTGCTCTGAACAATGGAACTAGACCTACTACAATCACAGCTGAACAGTTGCATAAACACTCAAATCCAAAATCTACATCATATGTCATTAGTAGCCAACTGAAAAAAAAAGAACAGTCTCACCCTCACAGAAACTTCAAAACTATTATCCAATCGGATAAATTAAAATGAGCTTTTCAGCAATAGCTCTTTTTTTTTCTGAGAGGGAGTGAAAAATCTAAGATACAAAGTCTTCTACAACACTACAAAGAGAAAGTTTAGCAATGCTTACAGCCTTTAACATTTAAAGACACTTCCTTGATCAGCATAATACATTCTCATACAAACTCTTTGTCTGCCACAACGTAAAATATATAATACTTTATAGGAACTAAAACATTCCACTGCATAGGGTGCTGGCAGCTGTGAGTTCAAGTTTTGTCAATAATCCTATTTGATGCCCAAAAGAAATCTTAGCTTATGAAACAGTATAATTCTCATGTTATCGAGTTGCATGCACATGGACTGTAGAAAATAATATCTTTTGCCTTTCTAACTGTGGTAATTAGTTAAAGACTATCAAACTGACCTAGGCATCAGATATCACTGTATATCATTACTGGCTTTTTTGACACCACAGGATTCTTCATACTAGTAACATTTTTTCTAAAAAAATAGAAGTCTTAAACCCACAACTATTACTTCTTGCATTTCATTTTTATTTCTTCACTAGTTTACATAATATAAATAATTCCATAAAAGAATTTTATGAATTACCTGATGTTTCATACAAAACTCCTCACTGTTATACTATTTGGCAAAAAGAATGATGCAAGTGTACTAGAACGTTAATATTGTGCTAACTGAAAGAATTACACTTAATATAATGTCAACATTCAATCACAAGTAAAACACACTATTCATGACAAATTATAGAAAAAAAAAGAAGAAAGAGGAATATACTTTGAGTATACATAACCAGTATAATAAAAAAACTTTTATAAAGTTTTAAAGGAGAATAATATCTCCCTTTCTGTAATTTCACGGTTAATCATAACCAACTTCTCCAAGCTGACCTTGACATCTCAGACATTACCTATAATGATCTAACTAAATGTTCCCAGTCTTCAGTATACTTCATTTGCTGAAATACATCAGTTATTAAAATGCAGTTCTTGCAATGTTATCCCCTATTTTGCAACCGTAACTAATAATTCAGAACCTTGTCCATAGTAAATACTATCTGTACTCTGTTATAACAACATTTATTTAGGAAAAATAGAAAAATACAGTGAACAATGAAAATAAAGTACGAAGGCATGAAAATAATTTCAAATCATTTAGTTTCCATAACCCTTCGTGGAATTCAAAACACGATGGAAATCTGTAGGGTAGATGGACTTATGTTACTGGAATGATACTCATTTAGGATGTGAGTACTGTTCTGTTATAATATATAACTGGGGTGTGCTTTTGCTACAAAAACTCTCTGCCAAGGAAAAATTCAAGGGTTTTCCTCAGATTGTGCTTGTATCTTTTGGCAGTGTAAACTTCAAGTTTTAACAAATAAGTACATATATTCAACATAATCAAAATAATTACTTAATCCCAAAAGAGGTAAAACAAACATAATCATAATCATAATAGAAATAAAGCCATTTTCTTTCTCTTGTCTGTGAGATCTGAATGTACCAAACTTTCATGCCATGATTCAACTGACTAAGAGACTTTACGAACTTAAAAAATAACCTTTGAATTTACATAGAAGGCTTATAGGAGTTATTTAGTAGCCACTACACAAATAGAAAATTGTTTGTACAAAGATGCACTCCTTGTTGCATCATCATCAATTACATATATTTATATATAAATGTGTGGAAGCATGAAAATATCTAGGGGAAGCTAACCCTTATGCATCCCAAGAACTGGGTTTGTATTTCCTTCTCCTCCTCAATAGTCTATTATCAATCAACACAGGGGGGAATAATAATGATAATAATCAATGTAGACCAAAAATCTAAGAAGAAACTTTTCCAAAAATAAACAAGAAAATAATGCATTAATAACTGAAAAGGGAATGAGCATAAGCAAATCATAACACATCAAAGAGCTTCAACCTTTTCACTTCCTCTGCAGTTGATGTTGTGACCTGTTTATAAATCATAACAAAAGAAGCTTGCATACAGACACATTCATAATTACAGTTTGGAGAAAAAGAAAGCTTAGACATAATATAATAAATAACAGCACATGAAAACCATTTCTATCACTCATCTATAAATTAGTATATTGTTCATGGGGCAGTAAACATTCACTAAATACAGCTTGTGTAAAAAGTGTATGGCTGTATGATATCTAAACATAAAATAAGATTGTAAAAAGAGATAAGAAAATATTCCTGAATCCAAAACAATTACAACTGAATAGTAAGCATTGAAAATATATAACTGAAGTCAATATAAAAAAACAATATCAGTCATATTGCATCCTTTTAGTCATCAATACTTTCCCTTTTTTCTTTCAAGAATCACATCTGCTCCATCCTAAAAATAAGTGTGGCTCATCTAACCTGCTGATATGTATATGGCACAATGTGATTACATCTGTGAATGGTTACTGCTTATGTGTCATGATCAATTTTGTAAAGCCACTCAAAAATAAGTTTCATGATGTAAATATACATCAGTTTTTTTTGTTTTATTTTTTGTATTGTTCTTTTTAAGCTAACACATGCAAAGTTCACCTCATACTCATCACAAAAGATTCACAAACCTACATCTACATATATGAAGTTGTTTTTTATATCATTAAGTAATCCATAATGCATATTTAGACATTTGTTTTTACTTGCATATGAATGACATCATTCCAGCAGTACATTATATCAAACAGACTAATTTAATTCATATTCAGAAAAGGACATTTTTACTATGAAACTTCTACCTACACTGTGCTTATCATGATAAGTTATCACATTTTTTTTTCACATCAATTAATGATTGGCCAAGTACACTTAAGTCCTCTTAAATGCCATTAAACATATAAAAAGCCTCTAGTTAAGGTATTCATTATCTATTTACAACTTCCTAGACTATAATAGCACTCTCTACAACACTCACAATCGTGACAAACTTCTTGTGCAAAATGACTGCAAAGTCATCTGCCCCCTTTCCCCCTCCCCCCATTCAATACCACCTCTAGGGTGACTCTACACTCATACATCAAGCCTCTCTTTAAAAGCCTACAGTGACCAAAGTCTTTCTCCAATGAGCTTCTGACAGCTGACAATTACAGAGCACTGAAGCGCTATAGCTCCACATGGCTGTGATGTTCCCCATGACTAGCTTGGCTGATGATAGTATTGGCACTCTGCATTGCTGCAGTATATGCGTGGAGGTTGTTGTTCGTGATTGTGATGAGGAATATAAGCACAACAATCATGGCCAAAAGCATGATGAACACGAGCTTCTTTGCAGCTCGGAGTTGCTCTTCCACCGCTGACTGGCGGAGGAGTAACTGGTCAATCTGCAATGAGAAGTGAAGTAGATTAAGAGATAAACAGATCAAGATCCAACTTTGACAGTGAATCTGTAAGATGAAATGCAAGTTGCACAGTCACTAAACCACCTCCCTCCCTAAGTTTTGAATAGCAAATGAACACGCAAACATGAAGAAGGTACACTTTGAAAGTTGAAAGTTGAAAATGAAAACTGAAAATCACTATGATATTGAAATTGAAAATTGAAAATTGAAAATCACTATACACCAGTTTCTTGGTAAATTAAAAATAGGTTTACAAATGCATTGCCCTTGCTTACATGATTCACCAAGTATCACCTTAACTTTTCATTTAACCATTATTAACTAGAGCAAAAGAAAAGTCTGACTACACCTACAGCCTGGCAAATGTTTATATGTATTACCCAGAGATGTCACATCATTTGTCTTCTACAAGATAAATTAGAGGAACGGGAGTTGGGAATGGTTACTGTTGGGTATCTAATTACTCTCATTATTATCATTAAAAATATTATCATTACTATTATTACTATTATTTTATTAATATTTTTATTGACATCAGTAGTATTACTTTAATGATTATCATGATTATCATGGCTATCAATATTATTATAAAGATCATAATAATAATTATTGTTATTAATGTGAATATTAATATGACATGACCATTATTCAGAAAAACAGACTGCTATTATTATACTTCCTAGAGAAAGGCAATGATTATGGGTTCCTCTGTTGCCCGATGGCACTCCCTCTCCCCTGCCTCTCGTTTACGATCTAACCACCTAACCATCTCTATCTACTCTGTCTTATTAGCCTCCCCTCCTCTTCCCCATTCCTCTTTGCCAACTCCCCTTGTCTCTGATTGGATAAAACAAATATTTCCTCTAAGAGTGATGCTTAACCCATTCGTGCCGGGTAAAAATGAACAAAAAATGGGGAAAATGCTGTGCTCATTTTTTTATATTATTTAATGAAATGTCTCTACACTAGATGGCTCTGCCTTACCTGATTTCATTTGGCGGGAAAATGTATTTTTACTAGTGCTATGAATATTGATGATTATTTTTATTATAAACATTATAATTACTATATAGTTATACCATTAGTAACAGCAAAATAAGATAATGTAAGATATTTTCGTAAATTAAAGAATAGGGTAAACAGGTGAGACAGGTAGTACAAGTAGAAGTGTAGCCATCTATGTGTGAAAACAATTAAACAAGTAAACTCAAAGTAGGCACGTCACGTATACGTGACACCTGGCGCGATTGGGTTAAAAACATTTGCCTGGCTATATGTGTAATTACATTTTGCTCCTGAC